AGAGTTTGAGAGTCTACAAAAAAAAAAAAAAAAAAAATCACTCAACTAGTTGATGGCAGAGTCGGTTCTGGAACCAGGTCTTCCATCCTTAGTCCAGTATGAATTTAATAATACTTTCCTTCCTATCCTCTGCATACATGAATTTTACTTCCCTTAAAAGATATCTATAGATGCTCAGGAATTATTTATCTCATGCTTATTTTTAGAAATCATATCATATTAGAAGAATAACAAAACTAACAGTGAAATATGAATCTAGGTCTAACATTTGAAAGAGGGACATTCACAGTCTTTTTTGGCTTTAAGTTTCTGCCACAATACATGGAAATCAGGAAGGTGGTTAGAGAGGTACACAAGTACCTATTCATAATCAAATTTAACCCCAAAGTTCTAAAAAAAAAATTTTTGGAAGAGAAAAAGCATACTTTTGTTTTTGAGAGAGAGAGTCTCGCTCTGTCCCCCAGCCTGAAGTAGAGTGGCCGATCTCAGCTCACTGCAACCTCTGCCTCTCGGGTTCAAGCGAGTCTCTTGCCTCAGTTTCCCAAGTAGCTGGGACTACAGGCGTGCACCACCAGGTCCAGCTAATTTTTGTATTTTTTAGTAGAGACGGGGTTTTACTAGATATTGGCCAGGCTGGTTCTCCTGATCTCTGGTGATCTGCCCGCCTTGACCTCCCAAAGTGCTGGCATTACAGGTATGAGCCACTGTGCCCGGCGAGGAAAGGCATAGTTTTGAACACTTTAAATCTGCATAAGTTGTCACCAAACTTAGTATAAACAATCATTACTATGCTAAAAGTTTCAGAAAAATCCTGGTCCACATTTCTTCAGCTGGCTTAGTTGCCTTTAATTTCAGGTTTGTCTTTCTTTCTTTCTTTCTCTTTCTTTCTTTCTTTCTTTTTCTTTTTTTTTCTCTCTCTCTTTCTCTTTCTTTCTTTCCTTCCTTCTTTCTTTTTCTTCCTTTCTTTTGTTTCTTTTCTTTCTTTCTTTCTTTCTTTGAGACAGAGTCTCGCTCTGTGCCAGGCTGGTCTGCTGTGGCGCAATCTCGGCTCACTGCAACCTCTGCCTCCCTGATTCAAGCGATTTTCCTGCCTCAGCCTCCAGAGTAGCTGGGATTATAGGCACGCGCCACCACACCCAGCTAATTTTTGTATTTTTAGTAGAGACGGGGTTTCACCATGTTGGCGAGGATGGTCTCGATCTCCTAACTCGTTATCTGCCCGCCTCAGCCTCCCAAAGTGCTGGGATTACAGGCATGAGCCACCGCGCCCAGCCAGTTTTTTGTTTCTTTGATTAAAAATAATTTCTCCATCTTCCAATAAAATTGTGCCAGTGACCACAGCCATATGCGACAGCGTGGTGTCTACTGCACAGGTGGTTCCACTTTCATGTAGACTTCCTACCACGCTGAGTATTTCGCAGCGCGGTGGCTGCATGCCCACATGCCTTCCTAGCTTTCATGAGGAAGAAATGCAGCTTGCTTTGGAAGGACACATTAGGGAGAAGGCAGGTGATTCCTTCCTGATAAAGCGTCCCCGAATAAAGTCAGTTTTTCCTCTTGTGTTTGACACTGTCACCAAATGACCCTATTTCCATGGAGATGTAATGATAGCCTTTTGTAGATGATGAGCAAGTCTCTGTCTACTCCCCTCCTCCATGATTACTCCACATAGCACCCTAGTCCAACAACACCAATGGAAGTTTAAAAACTGAGGTCAGTAATGTCATAAATTTATGAATTCTGCACATGCCCATCTCCAGTTTCCTGGATTTATGTATTTTTTTTTTTTTTTTTAATTTTTTTGAGACGGAGTCTGGCTCTGTCGCCCAGGCTGGAGCGCAGTGACACGATCTCGGTTCACTACAAGCTCCGCCTCCCGGGTTCACGCCATTCTTCTGCCTCAGCCTCCCGAGTAGGTGGGACTACAGGTGCCCGCCACCGCGCCCAGCTAGATTTTTTTTGTATTTTTTAGTAGAGACAGGGTTTCACCGTGTTAGCCAGGATGGTCTCGATCTCCTGGCCTCGTGATCCGCCCGTCTCGGCCTCCCAAAGTCCTGGGATTACAGGCTTGAGCCACCGCGCCCGGCCGGATTTTTTTTTTTTTTAATTTCCAGTTTTAGTGCTTTTCCTGTGAGACTTACAAACAGAAATTCTGTTTCCTGGATTTTTTGTTGGTGGGAGGAATAATTTTTGAAGGCATATTGATGTACCTGGATGTTAACCTTCTAGCAAAAAGACTAGAGCAGAAAGACACCTCAGTGAGTGTGTGAAGGTTAAAAAACAAAACAAACAAAAACAAAAGAAACCTCTTCTCACAGTTACAGAAAATAAAACCAAAGGGGAGAAGATACTTAATGTGGGAAGAAAGCGAGAACCTTTGGACTCACTCATTTCTCTCTCTCCCAAACAAGACATGTAATGGTTTTATATCTCAGTACACACACTGAGCCGTATCCCAGGAAACGTAAAACATCACAGGTGAGAGTAAGACCTGTTTTTCCTCTAGTTGGTCACAAAAAGTTGTTTTCATGACATTGTTTATTTGACTCCCATGATATGAGTTTGAGCTAGTTGGCTTTGTTTTTGTTTTGTTTTGTTTGTTTGTTTGCAATGGAGTGCAGTGCAATCTCGGCTCACTGCAATTTCTGCTTCCTGGGTTCAAGTGATTCCCCTGCCTCAGGCTCCCTAGTAGCTGGGACTACAGGCGCACACCACCACTGGGCCTAGCTAATTTTTTGTATTTTAGTAGAGATGGGGTTTCACCATGTTGGCCAGGATAGTCTCGATCTCCTGACCTCACGATCTGCCCACGTCAGCCTTCCAAAGTGCTGGGATTACAGGCGTGAGCCACCGCGCCTGGACAGCTTTGTTTTATTCTATTATTATCATCATTTACTGAGCACTTGCCATGGGCCAAATGCTGCGTTGCATCCTGGGCCAAGAATGATCAAGGGTACAGTCTCTTGACTTTAATAGATGACACTCTAACTTGGGATTGTAGTCTTTATGTGGGCACCTTCCCTGGACTGAAGACAAGGGTGAAGGAATGGCCTGACCAATACAAAGCCATCCCTGTCAGTAGAGGGATAACCAAAGCACATGCCTGGCAGGGGCGAGGCAGCAGTGATTATCAGCTGCAGATGCCACAGGCCATAATTGGAGAGCTGGGAGGGACCCTACTCACACCCACCTTCCCCTGTCTTAGGCTAATCTGAACTGACTCACTAGGCAAAGATAGACCAAACTAACTGTTGGAAATGAGGTCATTTTTTTTAAAAAAAAAAAAAAAAAAAGGTTTCCTATTTCTCTAGGTTTCTCTAGCATCAGAATTCCACATGAGAGTGGAGTGACTTAGAACAAGTAGACAAGCCTTGGATTCAAGCCTTCGCTCTGCCAGCACTAATCATGTAACTTTGGACTTTTCTGGGCCTTAAATACTAAAATCCAAGAAATTAACCCATTAGCCTGGATGCTCTTTGAAATTCCTTCTAGACATCAAATTCCTTGATTCCATGTAAGGTTGCCAGATTTAGCAAAGGAAAATACAGGATGTCCAGAAAAATTAGAATTTCAGGTAAACACCACTCATTTTTTAGTACAAGCGTGCCCCATGTCCTATATTTCATCTGGCAACCCTAATTTCACGACATATATGTCTCTCCAAGATGAAAGCAAGTACTCTAGCCAAGGGGAAATGTCTGTTCTTGGGGGAAAGGTCAAAGTTGTTAATTTTCTTTTCTTTTTTTTTTTTTGAGACGAAGTCTCACTCTGTCACCCAGGCTGGAGTGCAGTGGCACGATCTCAGCTCACTGCAACTTCCGCCTCCCTGGTTCAAATGATTCTCCTGCCTCAGCCTCCTGAGTAGCTGGGATTACAGGTGCGCGTCACCACGCCCGGCTAAGTTTTGTATTTTTAGTAGAGACGGGGTTTCATCATGTTGGTCAGGCTGATCTCGAACTCCTGACCTCGTGATACGCCTGCCTCGGCCTCCCAAAGTGCTGGGATTACAGGTGTTAGCCACCTCGCCCAACCAAGTTGTTAATTTTCTTAAGCAGATTTATATCAGGAAGTGTGGACTTTGTTGTGTGGCTTGACCACTCTACTCTGATTAAACAGAGTGGTTTTCATAGATAGGTAGGGATGGGAAAAATGCCCCACCTGTTCATTGTTATTTAACAGGGTTAATTTTTTTTAATATAGCATAAGCTCCAACTGGAAACAAAATGAAACTGCCAACGGATATTAAGGCCTAGGTAAAGGAAAGGAAGGCCAGAGAAGGCTGTGTCCATTATCACAGAGACACAAAAAGGCTTGTGAAAAGGCCCTCCATGTCTTCACTTGGTTTTCCTTCTATAATGATTTTATTCTGTTTGGTAGGAAACAGGATCAGAGGTATTCCCACTCCAATCCCAAGGAATGGGTTTATGTACAAAAAAGAGAAACTTGGTTCCCTCTAAAAGAGGGAAAAGAGTTACCAAAAGAACGAAAAACACAGGGGAAAAATGGGCAGGCTACTTCATCGAGCTTCTCTGCTTTTGGCTGGAATCCTAGCAACTCCGTGTTGCTGTTTCATACTAGTCAGAAATTTTGATTGGCTGTTTTGCTTCCTTTTTGTTAATTCAAATGGGAAAATGGGTGACGTAGTCTTTCAGAAAGTCAGTATTTTTGATGCATAAAATCTTTTGATTCTGAAGAATACAGGGAGGAGTAATAAGAATGGATTCTTGTGATGAAAACTGGGGGATTCTGTTATAGCAAACATTTATTGAGAGTCTGCCATGAACCTCACACTGTGCCACACATTCATAAACTTCCCAACTAACATTCACTCTGTAAGTAGGTGTCATCCTTTCTATAGGAAAGAAAATTACATCTGATAAGATGAATGGCTTGGCCAAAGTGGGGAATAATTAGCAAGTGGTCAATCTGAGACTCCAGCCCTTATCACCTGACTGTAAATTCAACACTTATTTTTTTCATGTCTTTTTTTTTTTTTTAAGGCAAAGAAGCCAACCTGCTAATGCAAAATCTGAACAAGTTGCAAACACCTGAAGAAAAGTTCGATTTTTTATTCAAGAAGTATGCTGAATTGGTAAGATCTTTGATTAGCGTCTTTTCTCAGAAAGATTCAGGCTCCAGTTGGAGCTGAGAAAAGGAGACTTAGTTTTTCAGGCACCTCATTAAATAAAGACCATGGCTGGTACCTTTGAACAAGCCTGAGCTAGAATTCATAAAAGAAGAATTTCTTAAGGAAAAAAAAAAGGAAAGAAAATTTGAGAAATAACAGCAAGAGGAAGAAAGAGGCTAGAATTGGAGTGTCCACCACCACCTCCAATATGTGTGTAATTTTGGGGCTAGAAGACTGAAGTATATGTGATTGAAACTTGTAGATATTTTAAAGTTCTTTTCAGTTTTGTAATAAAATAGAAATATACTCAATATAAAGATAAACAGGCCAGGTGCAGTGGCTCACACCTGTAATCCAACACTTTGGGAGGCCGAGGTGGGAGGATTGCCCCAGGCCAGGAGTTCAAGACCAACCTCGATAACATAGTGAGCCCCCATCTCTACAGTGTTTTAAATTAGCTGGGCATGGTGATGAGCACCTGTAGTCCTAGCTTCTCAGGAGGGTGTGGCAGGAGGATTACTTGAACTCAGGAGTTTGAGATTGCAATGAGCTATGATTGTGCCACTGCACTCCAGCCTGAGTGACAGCAAGACCCTGTCTCTAAATATAAATACATACATAAATAAATATAGACAGATAGATAGATAACATATTTTCAAACTTTCACTCAGTTCTCCTACCTAGGATTTTTGAGAGCTACAAAGGGAAGACAGCAAGGGGTTGAGTCATGCCATCCTTCAGTTCATGGCACATTCTAGTCTGGTCCATTTCTGTATTTATTATCTTTGATCCTCATTCTTCTCCCTCTTGCCTACAATAGCAAAGCATTTCATGTGAATTGTTTTGTACCCTGTTCTAAGTGCTCCTAGGCAGCCGCCTTCTCAATAAATTGGGGCCCCTAGGAGCAAAGGAAGCTACTCTCAACCATCAGAGAATCCTCAAAGTGGACTGTCTCCTCACTAGTAACTCTAAAATTGGCTGGTTGGAGAAAAGGGGAGGACTTAGTGAGCCCAGTGCCTCTAGTTTCAAGGAAAAACAAACACCTGCCAATCTGAGAATGAATTGTAAAGACCAACATCTGAGGTCTGTGTGCTAACCCTGCAGACTATGAGACCCACAGTTCAGATGTGGCATCCTCTCTAATAAAGCTCGGCAGTAACCTTCTCCTTTATTTCTGCTTCTACAAAAATTCTTTTGAAGGAATTCCCATCAGAATCTCTATCTGTTCCATTTGGTTATCCAAATCAGGGAGGGAAAATAAACCGTATCACCCAATCCCAGCGACATGGGTTCCTCTCCCTGAAATGTATTGTGACCAGAATCACTGGGCTGATTCTCACATGTTAGCACCTCACTAGCTCCTTTTGATTGTGTTGGTGTCACATTGAGAAAAAGGTAAAATAAATCTTACTGTAGACTGAAAGCTCATACTAATAGTAGTGAAGTTAGATGGACCAAACAATTGAACTTATTTTTATAGAACTTATTGAGAATAATCTTTCTTAAAATGTATATATATGCATTTTAGATATATTGACATAGTTTGGGGAACTTTTTAAAAGTCAGTTGCCTGAGTTTTTAATCTTGGACTTGGCATTTATATATTGCGCACCAACACTGTTGGATACCAGAACATTATAGGAGTGGAAGAGCTGTTCTAGCAACTTTCAACATGTACTATATGGGGCATATGTAGGTTATTTATACACAAAGAAGTCTATTTTGTGTCCTTGTTGTTTAGAAGAATTGCATGAAATCATGTAGTTGCAAATAAAAAGTAGTTTGGGGCAAAATATAAGTTCTTTCAGTTATTTCTTTTGAAGAAACAGTGACAGGAGAATGAAACTTAAGACTCCATATAGCAAAAAATTCCTCCAGACAGTAGGTTGAACTGCCCCCAATAGTAGATTTACCATTGCAGCTAAGGAAGCTTAAACTTCAGGACATCTCACTTACATGGACCCCTTTGAGGCCTGGGGCCTAATTCTCTTTAATTTTTTTTTTAAGAGGGCCTCCAAAACTGAATAAGCTTCAGGCCCACAAACTTTTCATCCCTGTAGATGGAGTACACTTCAGTGAGTGACTTGTTTTCTTTGTTTTTCACTCTGAATCTAGTCCTGTAATCTTTCTGTCCTTCTACCTGATGCATCCTGTTATGCTGAATTATTATGCAATAGATCCAGAAAAATTCTGAAACTCTAAGTGACTGGCTGATTACTTAACTCTGCCAACAATATTTTTAGATTTTTTTTTAGACATACAAACTACATTATGAATATATATAGTGGTGAATACACAAAATAAAAATACCTCTAATCCCTCATGTAAAATACAAACTTTGTTTTATGCATATTCTTTTCCTGTTCTGCTGTATATGCAGAGATGCTTTTAATTATAATTACAGGCATAAGGTACATATAAGTTGATGTCTGGTTTTGTACATGACAGGCATTTTTCCATATAATATATAGTCTTCATAAATATTTTTTATAAAGGTTGTATCATATTCCGTTAAGTGGCTGTATCTACTGATTCAATAATTTGAAGATATTTAAATTCCTCTCACTATTTTGCTTTACCAAATATTTCTGCAATGAACATCATCATGTATTAGCTTTGTTTTTCTTCTTTTTTATGATTTTAAGAAAAATTTCCAGAAATAGGATTACGAAATTAAACAAGATGAGTGCTTTCTGGTTTTTAAACTTTATGGCCATATTGCTTCCCAAAAGAGCAGTAGAAACTCACAAAGCAAGTATCAGTGTATCAATTTTCTTGCAACTTGTATTGCACTGGCTATGAAGAATTTCAATACCATAAGTTAGGTGTCAAAAATAATATTTTCTCTCCAAATCTGGCCCCCACTCTCACATTTCCATGTGATTCTCACCTATCCATCCTTGCTCTTTTTAGTATTTTCTGAGTCGTTTTTCCTTTGCCCCTTCAATTTACCAACGCATACCAAGGCCATTCATGTTTCATTTCCAGTGCCATGTTCTATACTTGAGGGGACTGGGCAGCATTCTAGACTAATACAGGAAGTGATGTATGGTGCTGCAGTCCCACGGCAGTACATTAGGGAAGCATCACTTTTCCAGACTTACCGATATTTTCTCCATGAGCCAGTGTTGTTCATCCTGGTCTCAGGGAACTCCCTGTACCTACTCATCCTCCTAGCAAAGCAGTCACCCCCAATAAACAAGAGATTGTTTTTCCAGAGACCATATTCAATTCAACCCTTACTTGCTATACTTTGGCATTTGTATCATCTCTTGTAATAAACTTTCAAACCCAAGAGGTCATCCTAGAAAATATGAATAGGAGAAAATTGACCCAAAAAACCTATTACATTTCCTTTTCAGAAAAGAAAAATTATGAGGAATTTCAATTTTTTACGTGGAGACTAAAGCCTATTTCCTTGCTCACTGATTTGGATATTAATATAGAAAACGACTGAAATATAAGTGTTCACATGGAATAAATCATCAAATTCAAAGCTGTGAATCAAACTGCCACTCTAGCTCACTCATCCTTGCAGAGTCTAAATCCTGTAATATTACCTGACATTGTATTCATTAATAAATAAAGATAAGCTCATTAATAAGTAAGGACACTTCATGACTAAATGGGGAAATGGCCTGGGAGAAATATTTTTTGCATTTAATTTCCTCATTTCTTATGTAGTTAAAACAACATCAGTAATAGGATTTTAATTTAGTACTTAGCAATAATTTTACTTTTTAACTTAGTATAAAAGAGAAATAAAACAAGAGAAATTACAGACAGACATTCTATATGCCTATTACAATTGTACAGAAGAACTATGCCTAAGTAAAATCACAAAGCCTGCATTTGACTGAAGCTGTGCAGTAAGAACCTAGAGGGCAGGGAATGTGTATTTTCATTGTCTTTGATGCCAAAAATCACTTGAATATTGGCTGAATTACTTTGTTAATAATTTAAACTTTTTAAAATATAAAGGAAAGTTCTGGTGTATTATCTTGATTAATATTAGAAACAAAATAGACTGAGCACAGTGGCCCGTGCCTGTAATCCCAGCACTTTGGGAGGCCAAGGCAGGCAGACTGCCTGAACTCAGGAGCTCAAGACCAGCCTGGACAATATGGCGAGAACCTGTCTCTACAAAAAAAACTAGCTAGGCATGGTGGCACACATCTGTTGTACCAGCTACTCAGGAGGCTGAGGCAGGAGGATGACTGAAGCCAGGTGTTCGAGGCTTCAGTGAACTATCGGTGATTGCGCCACTCCACTCCAGCCTGGGTGACTAAGCAAGACTCTGTCTCTAAAAAAATTAAAATTAAAAATAAAAATAAAACATTAAATGGATAATGAGCAAGCACAAATCATTTCTCTTTCAACTTATGAAACACCTATAGGGCGTCTTCCTCCTGACACTCAGATAAAGCCACACAGTGCAGAGTTCCCTAAACAAGGACAGTTTTGTCCACCAGGCAACAATAGGTATGTCTGTCGGGAGATATTTTGGGGTGTTGCAATTGGGCAGTGCTACTGGCATATAGCAGGTAGGGGCCAGGGATGGTGTTGAACAACTTACAAGGCATAGGATAGCCCCAACAACAAAAAATTATCTGGCCCAATATGTTACTTGTGTTGGGGTTCAGAAGCCCTGATATAGGTTTCGTCTTCAGAAAGTAAAGTCTAAACCAGAATGGCAAGAATAATAACAATATATAAATTTCGTTTTTTTTTTTTTTTTTTTTTTTTGAGATGGAGTATTGCTCTTGTCACCCAGGCTGGAGTGCAGTGGCACGATCTCAACTCACTGCAACCTCCGCCTCCCAGGCTCAAGCGATTCTCCTGCCTCAGCCTCCCGACTAGCTGGGATTACAGGCGCCCGCCCCTAGGCCCGGCTAATCTTTGTATTTTTAGCAGAGACGAGGTTTAACCGTGTTGGCCAGGCTGGTTTCGACCTCCTGACTTCAGGTGATCCTCCCACCTCAGCCTCCCAAAGTGCGGGGATTACAGGCATGAGCCACCATGCCCAATCTACAATATATAAATTTCAAGAAAGGACAATAGTCATTTAAAATCAAAATATATGTGCAAGAAATTTCATGCCTATCTTATAACTATGGTGCAAAATGAAAGGATCACATCTATGAGCAAGCTTAGCATGAGAAATAACAGATTATTTATTTTCCAAGGAGCATATCTATTTCAATCAATATTTTTAGTAATATGGGTCTTGTTTTTACAATGCTAATTTCCACTAGTAGCTAGAAATTGCACGTAAGTTTGAAGATAGAATATCATATATACATAGCCTTAGTTTTATCTGGCAAGGGTTTAAAATGCTTATTTTAGGGTGGCAGGAGGGAGAGAGGAAAGAAATAAAATGTGAACTGAAGAAAGTGTGACAGGTGTTCATCTCGCTCAGAAAGAATAACTGCTTTTTATTTGTTATTTATTATTATTATTTTTTGAGATGGAGTCTTGCTCTGTCACCCAGGCTGGAGTGCAGTGGCGCAATCTCGACTTACTACAACCTCCATCTCCCTGGTTCAAGCAATTCTCCTGCCTCAGCCTCCCAAGTGGCTGGGATTACAGGTGTGTGCCGCCACGCCTGGCTAATTTTTGTATTTTTAGTAGAGATGGGGTTTCACCATGTTGGCCAGGATGATCTTGATCTCCTGACCTCATGATCTGCCTGCCTCGCATCCCAAAGTGCTGGGATTACAGGCATGAGCCACCACGCCTGGCCCCAATGGCTTTTTTAAAATGGGAAAACTGAGGCACGTGTCAGAGCTCATGTGGCATCTGTATCCATTTGCATTAGGCTCTGTGAGGCACCAGAACACCTGAGGTCCAGAAGAACCAGGGCTTTTCCTTTCTGTTCATCAACAAAGTCGTTATTAGGACTAGTACTTACCTGACTTCATCACCATCTGGGCACTACAGGAGCTAAGGCCAGTGGAGGAAATGGCTCTGGACAAACGGCTGCTGCTTGAATGTGGCCCCAGCGATGGTCAGTCTGAGATCGACACTCCTAGAGTCCACTGATCTCTCTCTGGAGGCTTCTGAGGTTTATCCCTATGCTCCCCACACCAGGTCTAGAACTCCATAATAATGTTGCCAGATGTAACAAATAAACATACATTACACTCAGTTAAGTTTACATTTCAGATAAACAAATAACTTTTTGGCAAAAATATGTCTCATGCAATATTTGGAATATATTAAAACCTATGCTAAAAATTATTTCTTGTTTATTTGAAATTTAAATTTAACGGGGCTTCCTGCATTTTACTGACAATCTTATCCTAGAACTTCAGCATCCAAGATGGAAAGGACAGTAGTAAGTTGATTTCATGTTCCACGGCATTCGTGGCTGCTGGAGGAACACGAGAAGAGTTCACCTGGACTCAGCAGAAACCAGCAGAATGATCTATTTGTTATAAGCACAGGGCGGGTGTGGGTGGGGAGCAGCAAGGCATGTTACAGATATTTGCTATTCATGCTGTTGAATCATGCAGTAGCTATTTCTGATGGTTTGGTGAAAACCCGTCAATACTTAGGTAGTGGAAGGATACTTTCTCTTCTCCTTTCCCACACACAAACAATCCACACTCAGAGCCCAAAATTATAAAGAAGAGGACTTCATCTTCTGTTTACCAGAAGGCTGCATTTCTCTTTCCTATTTTTAAAAATAGTGCTAGAAGCTTGTTTCAAGGAAGAACTACGCGAACTAAATGCAACCCAGGCAGACAGACTGTTGATCACTGCCTCAATGCAAGGCGTCGTCATGAACTCTGGCAGTTTACAGATTCCAAGGCATGCCTTTCGATTTTGTCTGGCTATTCAATATTGGTTAGATAGACTCAGGAAAAATATTTCTAGACCATCCAAAAATAGATCAAAGTAAAAAGAGACTAATAATAATGAAAAACCTATCAATGCTGTGCTCTGAAAGCTATACCTTCAAGTACTACAAAGGTGACACTTATGAATTTCATTTACTTCCAGAGGAAGAGATAATAGCAAAGAATGTTTCCAAACAACCATAGAGTAATCTTTAGGTTTGCTTTTTTTCTATCGACTCCAAGGAGATCCCTGCCATTTTCTTTCATGTTTGTATCTCCATGTGTACAGCTGGATGAACATCGTACTGAGCAAAAGAAGTTAAAGCTCCTCCAAAAGAAACAGGTACAAATTCAAAAAGAAAAGGACCAGTTACAAGGTGAACACAGCAGAGCTATCCTCGCTCGAAGCAAATTGGAGAGTCTGTGCCGGGAGCTGCAGAGACACAACAAGACTCTCAAGGTATGTCCCAATGGCTCAGAATAACATACTTTCTTGAATGGGCACAGAGACAGGCCTCTGCTACTCGTGGAAAGAGTGTGAATTTTAGAATCAGAGAGGCTCAGGTTCAAATACTGCCTCTGCCCCTTTCTTGCTGGTATCCTTAAATAATTTTACCTCCTTGAGCTACTTTCTTCATCCATAAAATGGAGATTAGACCAGCTTCACTGTGTGGCTGGGAAAAAATTAGATGAAGTTGAATATGTAAGGTACCCACATAGTACCTGACACAGTGCAGGTCCTTAATAAAATACATACCATTCCCCTTACTTTTTTATTATGTTGAGTTTGTTTCTAAGGTAGGCCTTAGTTCTTTTTAAAAAATACATTTGTAAAGATTCAGCATTTTTGGTATTATAATGAATTCTGCATGACATGAGATAAATGGACACACACCGAATTGACACAATGAAATGAGATTGAGAACCAAAATGTCGATAGTCATCTGAAAAAAAGGAAGCTATTGGAAAAAGCACTGAAGCTCTTCAGGCTTAATTATTCAATCTAAAAATAATAGACTGATCACTTCATTGGGTCTGCGCGGGTTTCTTTAATTACAGCGTAAGCCCTAGCAGTGTGGTCAATTTGATTACACAGAGACACTAGCGCCATTCAATATAGCAAGATGCAGAGCTCTCCAAGATGACACTGTGTGCTTCCCCAATCCCCTTTCCAGCTGAAGATCCTAAAGCTTTTGACAAACAATAATTAATTAGACACCAAGTTTCCCGTGAGGTAGTTATTATTATAAGCATTTAAAAAGAGATACTTCAAGAAACAGAGTACATGAAAATCATTGCTGAATTTGTACAATTGAGTTAGGGGAAAAAAATAGAAGATAATCATGGTTCCTCATTTTCCAAATTGCTTTTTGATATCTGGGAAATGGAGAACCAGCGTGATGAAGTCGAAGTCTCAAATTGCAAGTTTTAGGAGATGGGCTACTGGCGTCTTGTCAACAGTGGTACTGAAGACAGACACCCAGGCTGAATGGGGGCCTGAGGATGGAAGCATTGTCCTCAACTCAAGATTTGGATTCAAAGGATGCATAAATCTCTTGTGTGTCTACGTAAATCCACTGTCTCTCAGTAATGTTACACAGTAAGGACATAAAAATTAAATCAGATAGGGCGGGATCATTTATCAACAAAGAAATATAAAGAGTAGAATGATACAGCATGGTCTTCTTGGGTAGTATTGAAAGACAGAATGATCAGCTGGTCACAGCGGGTCACATCCATAATCCTAGCATTTTGGAAGGCCAAGGTGGGAGGATCACTTGAGCTTGGGAATTTGAGACCAGCCTGGGCAACATTTATGATAGTGAGACATTGTCTCTACCAAAAATCAAGAAAATCAGCTGAATGTGGCACATTCCTGCAGTGCCAGCTACCTGGGAGGCTGAAGCAGGAGGATCATTTGAGCCCAGAAGTTAGAGCCTGCAGTATGCTATGATTGTGCCACTACACTCCAAACTGCATGACAGAGCGATGTCTCAGGAAAAAAAAAAAAAAAAAGAGAGAGAGATCTTATTAATACCATCCAGCTGGTTAGAGACCCTTCTCCACCAAAAAAAAACAAAGACAGAATGATCAAAGTAGCAGGAGACCCTGTAAGTGTGCCCATATACCCTCAGTCATGGCTTCTCATTATGAACAACGACATTAAGTATCATTATTATGCCAGAAGTTATCTAAGTGCTTTACATACATTATTTCATCTTCACGATAACCCAGTGAAGGTTAATATCTCCACTTTATTGAAGAAGAAACTGACACTCAGCAATCCCGATCAGTTGTCCAAGGTTAAGTATATTTTAAATGTCAAAATCAGAATTCAAATTCAAAATATTTTCAAATTTTCTAAATTTTTCTTTGACCCAGGGATTATTTAGAAGTGTTATTTAATTTTTATAGCCTATCATACATGCTGTATCTTGATAGCATATGTACTTTGAAAGAATGTTTTTCAGATGGTGGGTGTAGTGTTCCATAAGTAACAATTAGCTTTAAATCATTTTTGGTTTTTTTGAATTTTTTTATCTATCAGTTGCTAAGAAATGAGAGTTTAAAATCTGATATAATTGTGGAATTGTCTGCTTATTTTAATTAGGCCAATTTCTGCTTTATGTACTTTGAAGCATTAATATTAGGTGTATATACATTTATGATTATTATGTCCTATTGGTGATTTTACCGTTATGAAATGTCCATTACTAATTTTTTTTTTTTTTTTTTTTTTTTTTTTTTGGTGAGACGGAGTCTTGCTCTGTCGCCCAGGCTGGAGTGCAGTGGCACAATCTCGGCTCACTGCAAGCTCCAACTCCCTGGTTCAAGCAATTCTCTGCATTAGCCTCTCAAGTAGCTGGAATTACAGGCACCTGCCACCATGCCCAGCTAATTTTTGTATTTTTAGTAGAGATGGGGTTTCACCATCTTGGCCAGGCTGGCCTTGAACTCCTGACCTCATGATCCGCCGACCTCGGCCTCCCAAAGTGTTGGGATTACAGGTGTGAGCCACCACGCCAGGCCAGTAATAATCTTTGTCTTGGTGTCTACATTATCTGATATCAATTTAGCCACTCTAGTTTTCTTACTCTTATTGTTTGTCTGGTGTATCTCTTTTCATCCATTCACTTTCAGCCTGGGTCTTTATATTTAAAGTGCATCCTTTCAAGATAGCATATAGCTGGATCTTACTTCTTTTCATTCCTACAGTATCTGCCTTTTAATTGCAGGACTAGTCCATTAACATATAATGTACGTATTGATGTGGTTTGATATATGTGTGCCATTTTATTATTTGTTTATTATTTGTCACCTCTACTTTGTTTCTCTTGTTCTTTTCCTGCCTTCCTTTGGATTATTTGAATATTTTAAAATTACATTTTAATTTATCTCTTGTATTTTAAAATTATAACACTATGCATTATCTTTAGTAGTTACTCTGTGATTACAATATACATTCTTAATTTTTCATAGTCTTCCTGGAGTTAATGTTGTATTACTTCACATAACACATAGAAACACTGCAACTAAATAGATTAATTTACTCCCTCAGCCTTTAAGCTATCATCATTATATGTATTATATTTACATACTTTTGTAAAGCCGAAGAGACATTGTTATAATTTTTACTTTAAACGATAATATGTACTTCTTCTTAAAGACAAAACTATCCCTTTTATCTACCCAGATGTTTATCATTCCTGATACTTTTTATTCATTCTGTAGCTTCACATTTCTGTCTGATGTCATGTCCCTCAGCCTGAAGTACTTCTTTTAGTATTTCTTACAGTACAAATCTGGTAATCAATTCTCTTAGTTGTCTTTTATCTTTAAAACATCTTTATTTTTTTAAATTGAAGGCTAAATTCATTGGATATAGAATTCTGCATTGAGAGAACCTATTCGTGGGGTTTTTTTCCTTTTAGCCTTATATAAATGTTCCACTATACTGGCTTTTGAAATTTTTCATGAAAATCAACAATCATTTAAATTATTGTTCCTCCACATGTGTTATGTCCTTTTTCTCTGCCCTTTTCAAGGCCTTTGTATTGATCTTTGACTTTCAGAACTTTTACTGCTTTATGGCCAGGAGTGGTTTTTTTCGTATGTATCCCTACTTGGTATTTGCTAAGCTTTTTTGTATCTGTAATTATATGTCTTTTACCAAATTTTAATTTTTTTCAGCCATTATTTCTCCGAATAGTTTTTCTGCTCCATTTTCTTTCCATCTTCTTTCCTTCTAAGATTCTAACTCTATGTGTATTAGACCTTTTGATATTGTCCTACAGGCCTTCGAGTCAATCTTCACATTCTTCACCAATACTTTTTCTCTTTTATTTTTAGATTACCTTATTTTGATTGGGCTATCTTCACATTCAGTGATTCTTTTCTTTCTTATTTTTGTTCTGCTCTAAATCCATCCAGTGATGTTTACATTTCAGATTTTGCAATTTTTAATTTCAGAATTTCCATTTGGTTCTTTTTTTATACATAATCTCTCACCTGAGATTTTCTACCTTTTCATTCATTGAGATAATATTTTCCTTTACATCACTGACCATAGTTATAATACCTGTTTTTAAATACTTGTCTGCTAATTCCACATTTGCAGCATTGTAGAACAGGCCTCCTCTACTTGTCTTTTCTTTTGAGAATAGATCACATTTTCTTGATTCTTCATATGTCAAGCCATTGTCTATCGGATCCTGGATGTTGTGACTATTATGTTGTGGAGAATCTGGATTCTACTATATGCTGAATACTTTTTATTTTTTTAAGCAGACAATTAATTTGGTTAGATTCAAACCATAAACTTTGTCTCTTGAGCAGCAGCTGAAATCTCAGTTCAGTTCTTTTTTACTTAGCTAGACGGCTTTGTACACATGTGGCTCAAGGCCAGTCAGATTTGTGTAAAGTTTATTCACAGGATCTGGGCTCTATTTCTCTGACTCTCTCTTTTTTGGGGTGATCTCCCCCTCACTGTTGAGGGACTCTAGTTGTCCAGAACTCTGTATTCTTCTTATTCTTCCAATATGGAAGATGGTATGTTTTATATGAGAATTTTGCCCACCTCATACTCCTGCCAACTGCAGATTTCTCTCAAGCTAAAAGCTGTAAAAAAATAGGAAACTCATGTACAAGTGCCAACTTCCCTCCAGAGTCTGTCTGATTTTGTTTACTCTCTGGTGTCATCATTGTTTCTTGCATTTCATCCAGAGTTTATAGTTGTTATTTGCAGAAGGGTCAACTTGATATGAGCTTCCTTGGCCATACTAGTGAAACAGCTTAAGTATACCTAAATCTAAAATCCATGTGCTGGGAGCTTCGGAAGATATAGAAAGACAATGTATAACTAGGTATTTCTACCATCACAAATTTTAGCTTTTACTTTTCATTATTAAAACCGCTCCTTCAATGAGTCAAACACACACACACACAGAACCTCACAATTTAGGATAACTTAAGAAAGGATTGATGAAAGTCTGAGACATGGGTTTGTTTCAACAAAATGATACATATATTTGAAGTGATAAATCTGAGCCTCAAACTATACTGAAAAAGAACTGCCTAGTAAGAGAGGGGTGAGTGTCTCAGGGAGCATAATTTTCCTAAAGAAATGAGAAGCATTTGCTATCAGAATATCACAGAATTTTAATGTGGATAGGACTGTAGAAATGATCTAGTCCAAGCTACTCATATGTCTGTACATATATTAATAATTCATTGATTCATTAAATAAACATTTACTGAATACCTATGGATTATGTGCCAGGCACAGCACCAGTTGTAAAATGCACAATGATGCTTGCAAGGTTTTTTCCTTTGTGATCTCAGACTTCATCCCTCAATTTTATTGACATTATTTTGACTTTGAATAATGTATTTGATAAAGAAAAGATAATTTTATCTCAGATGCTGTCCAAATGATTGAAAATCCTTTAACAATGGACTCAAATGTTTTAAGATTTTGGTAGATTTCTTTTTGTCTCATTGAAAAACAACATAGGTTGGGTGCAGTGGCTCAACGCCCGTAATCCCAGCACTTTGGGAAGCCAAGGTGGGCAGATCATCTGAGGTCAGGAGTTTGAGACCAGCCTGACCAACATGGTGAAACCCCATCTCTACTAAAAATAAAAAAACTAGCTGGGCTTGGTGATGCATACCTGTAATCCCAGCTACTCAGGAGACTGAGGCAGGAGAATCACTTGAACTCGGGTGGTGGAGGTTGCAGTGAGCCAAGATCGTGCCACTGTACTCCAGCCTGGGTGACAGAGTGAGACTTCATCTCAAAAAAAAAAAAGAAAAAGAAAAAGAAAATATTTACACACACACACACACACACATACACACACACACACACATATATATATATGTGTGTGTGTGTATATATATATATGCAAGATGACATCTTTTGGACCAGGATTGACATCTTTTGGGCCAGGATTGGGGGTTATGATTCTTTGTTTGACATTTATTTAGTGCCATCCTAACATCTGTACCTTCTTTCTATAACCAGTTCCCAATAAAAAAAAACAAAACAAAACAAAAAAAAACTTCAGACTCGCATGGGGTGGTTCATTTATTCATTCATGGAATATTTATAAATACAAATGGCATTCAAATCATGGTGTGTAGTTCTGATTCCAAACTTGCTGACTTTTAAGCTAATCAGGACCAATGTGGAAACAATCACAATCATACATATATTTAATTGCTGTTAACTGGTAGCTATAATTATTTTTAGCGAAACACATATAGTAAGTGTTAGTATACAAAGTTTAGGGAAATAATATCTCAGATAGTTTATTTCTTCAGTTTAGGAAGTACAGATATCTTCAATACCCCTGAGAAGTTGTTGCTTAATAAAGGTTTGTAACATGAATAAATTATGATTTTGATATCAGGAGTCACATTAGAGTTAGGAATTGTGTTATTATTGTAGAGGAAAGAAGAAACCTAATGATAAAATATTTTCAGAGCATATATTTTCAGCATCAGTTTTTATTTTGATCACATTATTTTGTTATGATAAAGATCTGTACAATTACTTCTGTTAAAAATTATTATTTCTTTTAAAAAATCCTGTTACATAATTTGAACTTGGTAGGCAATCAAATGCAGTATAATTTTACTTGCCAACAACGAAGCAAGCTTTCACATTAACAATCAGCACTGAAAAGAATCCTAAAATGTCTGTATCATTTGTCAGCCACGTAAATGTCTCTATCTTTGGTAGGATGTAGCAAGATTAAACCCTTTTATTCGAAAAGAATAACAATCACAAAGCACTTCTCAATATAGATATGGAGGAAATTGGAGCTCATTGTCAGTGGCTAGCAATGAATGGAGAGTTTTGATTTAGGAGAAAAGAGAACAGAAATGATATAAAAGTTAATTTGCAATTCTTCAATGTTAACAAAGCAGAAGAAGGAAAATTAGATGTTTCACTTTAGAGTTAAAGAAGATTTGAAACTTAATATTGCTTTCAGATTCAAAATTTACATTGAACATTTTAATTACCCTATGTGACACATTTAATGATTGTTCTTTCAAAAACAAAATAATATCCAGCATATTTGGAAAGATTCCCTTTTATATTCTTGAATGGCTGTAATTGAGCTATGCTATCTTAGTTTCCTTTTTTAAAGCTCTTTGATGAAAGTTTTTTCTCACAAAGAGAAAATTTTTATTGTGATCACTTATATTTACAAAACTTGGTAATACAATTATGTGGTTAATATGCCATGGTTTTTATAGGGAAATATAAGATCTATTGTTCTCCCTTTACCAAACCAGAGGAACACATGATCTGTCTCATCAATCAGTCAACTCAAGGGGCCTTTTTTTCAGGCTACAGCCAAGAGATCAAAACTGTGTGACTGTGTGTTTGTTAGAAATCGCTGCAGTTCATTCACTCAGCAAGAGACCCGTCATCTTTAGAACAAGTCTATTCATCACTGACTACAAATTCAAGGCCTTCATAGCACCTGTTCTGAGTAACTGTGTACTCACAGCTGAAACCTTTACTCATCCATTTATTTTGGGGCTGAGCAGCTTTAGCTCTAGAGAACTGAAAAAAAAAACATCCCACCTACTCTGCACACTCATCTCCTTTGGGTGACCTAATCCTGAGTTCTATAAACCCGGGGTGCATTTAAACAAAATGTTTTGCTTTTTATTCACAGGAAGAGGCGCTTCAGCGGGCACGTGAGGAAGAAGAGAAAAGGAAGGAAATCACAAGCCATTTCCAGAGTACCCTCACGGACATCCAGGGCCAGATTGAGCAGCAGAGTGAGCGAAATATGAAGCTCTGTCAGGAGAACACAGAGCTTGCAGAAAAGCTGAAAAGCATCATTGATCAGTATGAGCTCAGAGAGGAGGTGAGAACCACATCAAACAACTTAGAACAGTACATAGATCCGGATCTGGGTGGTCAAGGTGGGAACTTGGTTAATAAGACAGTTACAGCCAGCCCTCTCAACAGATTCATATTTAGGATTGGATTTCCTTGACTAGCCAAAATGAAGACAGATGGTCTTACAAAATACCTGACTGAAAGTCATATGGGATTTCTTCAAAACTGGCATCATTGCAAAGTAAAGGCAATAAATAGAAAGTGATAGGCTGTGGGCACAGTTTTCCTTGAAAATAATATTTCTCAGCCTTTTAAAAATCCTCTCTGTATAGCCAGAAATAACTCACGCACTCCTTAAGAATTGCCATGTCATCTAAATTAAGAGTCTGTATTCTGGCCGGGCATGGTGGCTCATGCCTAGTAATCCCAACACTTTGGGAGGCCGAGGCAGGCGGATCAAGAGGTCAGGAGTTGACCAGCCTGGCCAACATAGTGAAACCCTGTCTCTACTGAAAATACAAAAAAATTAGCTGGGCATGGTGGTGGGTGCCTGTAATCCCAGCTACTCAAGAGGCTGAGGCAGGAGAATCGCTTGAACCTGGGAGGTGGAGGTTGCAGTGAGCTGAGATCACGCCACTGCACTTCAGCCCAGGAGACAGTGTGAGATTCCATCTCAAAAAAAAAAAAAAAAGAGTCTGTACCCTACTAGGCCAATAATAGTATTAATAATGTAATCATTGTGATAATAATGATGTCATTTATTCAGTGCTTAGTTTGTATCAGGCAATGTGCTAAGTGCTGAACTTTACATACCATATGGCATTTAATTGTCTCAACAATCTTATGCGCTAGTTAATAATATATTATAGATGGGAAGCAGAAGCTAAGAGATTAAACCACTTACCCACAGTCACAAGAGCCAAAAGCCTTTTACTTTGAATAGGTTATATTAGAGGGATGATCAACGTCTTTTGTTATCACCAAATTATATTTTAATATTTAATATGTTTTTAAGATTCCAGATACCCTCTCAGGATTTTGATACATCATATTCTGTTCCCTATCCCACCCAAATTTTAAATCTCTGCTTTAAAATGTAACATAACATAGTCAAATCGGCTCTGTTGGCAACATGCTAAGATTTTATCAAGCACAAAACTGAGCCAACAGCATATGGTCGCAGTGGTTAGGTAAATCAAGAAACTCCTCACAGTAAGCCAAAATGCCATGCTACCATTTTATCTTGTCACGAGGATCAATCCTGCTCCAGAGTGGAGGTTCAGACTAAAGAAGAAAGGAAGGAGTGAAAGCAAAATATCCATACTCTTCAGAGAGATCTCAGATGGGAATGGGCTGCTATACTAGTTGTACATTCCTGGGACTGGTTCTAAGTAAAGCCCAAGGGTAGAATTCCATGTCCTGTTTCTGATGGGACCTCCTAGTGACCAGGAAGTTATCCATACTGAGGTAGAGTTGGAAGTTTCTCTTCACCAAACTAGTCCAGAGGTCAAAAGGTGTGGCGAGCTCTGCACATTTGCAAATCAATTTCTCTATGACCCTTGGCCTTGTCATCCCCACCAGAGCAACAGAGTAGAATTCAGGGGGGCTCAGGCCTCACTCCCGGACCTCAGACCACATGCTGGCACCCCAAGACTTTCTCACAACGCCAGAGGCAAGAATGCAGAGAATTCATCATGATAAATTGCACTAATGTTGTGATTAAAAGTGGTTTTATATTCACAGAAAGAGCCAAAATACCAAATAGTACAACTGCAGCCCCTGTATATTGTATACTGATAGATGATTGTCTGCGCTGTCTAACATAATAAATAGCATCATATCTAATAGTTACCAAATGTAGAAAAATATTGTATGCATCTTTTGGTGTTGACACTGCTGAACTCTGGTGCCTCTACCTTTTGTAGCTACCTTTGTGTGTGTGGTGCAAAGTTGGGGGTGGGCGTGGTTCACCAATTTACAGCTTTAGCATAAAGCTGTAAGTGATGCCAATGCATTTATCCCTCTCTTCTTTTACATCTTAAAACCTGGAGAATGTATATTAATGTGAATTATTTTATTTTGCATTTTTAAGCACCAATAATAAACCAAACTTTCTATGTATACTTTATTTTTCTTAGCATCTGGACAAAATATTTAAACACAGAGAACTGCAGCAGAAGCTGGTGGATGCAAAGCTTGAGCAGGCCCAAGAAATGATGAAGGAAGCAGAGGAGCGACACAAACGAGAAAAGGAATATGTACTTATCATTTTAGTCATTCTGCATATCTGCTCCAACTCAGTGTCAGAGACACTCTGAGCAAGTTATTTTGTATTTATTTATTTATTTGAGACAGAGTCTCTGTCGTTCAGGCTAGAATGCAGTGGTGCGATCTCGGCCCACTGCAACCTCTGCCTCCCAGGTTCCGGCGATTCTCCTGCCTCAGCCTCCCAAGTAGCTGGGATTACAGGCGCCCACTACCATGCCCGGCTACTTTTTCTGTATTTTTAGCAGAGACATGGTTTCACCCTGTTGGCCAGGCTGGTCTCGAACTCCTGACCTCAGGTGATCCACCCCCATCGGCCTCCCAAAGTGCTGGGATTACAGGCGTGAGCCACCGCGCCCGGCTGCAAGTTGTTTTTATAATGGTCAAAGAGCACTAGACTGATGGAGAAAGAGCCCCAACTTCTATGGAGAACTAAATTAGCCAGCCCAGTCTGAGGCACTGTATCTACACTACTTTCTACATAAAATCGTCATTCATCCATTCCACACATATTTTTCAAGTGCCTGTTTTCTGCTAAGCACTGTGTTAGGTGCTGGGACATAGCCGTGAACAAGACAGAAAAGGGCCATCTCCCACTATGGAGATCACAGTTTAACTGGAAAAAGACAGGCAATAGACAAGCAAACAAGGAAGGGTCATTACAGACAATAATCACTGCTACTAAGGAAATAAAGAGAAACTGAGAAGGGGCCCAAGAAGGGGACGTACTTTAGATTGAGTGACCAGGAAGGCCTCCTGGAGGGAAGAATGCTTGATTGAGCTAAGCCCTGCCCGATGAGGAGCTGCCACTTGGAGCATCGTCTCCAGCATCTGCAGCAGCAACAAACGCCCTAATGCTGGAGCCAGTTTGGTGTGCTCCAGAAACAGGGAAAGGTCAGGGAAGCAAGAGCATGGGGGAAAAGTTCAAAATGAAGCTGGAGAGGTAAGCAGGGGCCAAACTGGGTAGCTTTGTAGGGCTTAAAAAGTCATTTGGATTTCATTCTAAATACAATGGGAAAGTACTGGGTACTTCTGCAAAGGAAGTGATGGCATGATCTACTCTGCATCTGCTAAGATTAATTTGGCTCCTGGACGGAAAATAGACTGCAGAGGGACAAAAGAGCAAGAAGACAATTAGGGGACTACTATAGCAATCAGATGAAATGTGACAATGACCTGGTTTAGGGATATGGCAGCAGAGAAGAGGGTTGGAGATGGATGAAAGTTGTTTTCATTGTGAAATCAACAGGCAGTGCTGCAGACCTGAAGCTGGTGACAAAGAGAAAAGGAGAGAGTCAAGGATGACTCCTAAGTTTTGGCCTCAGGAAACTGAGTGGCAGTGTTTATTGATATCTCATTAACTCCAAGCACCCCCTAAAAAGCTATAGGGCCATTCTACGGATGAGAGAATTGAGGCTCCAAGAAGATACGCAACTTGTAAAGGTCACACGCTGCTGATTGAGCAAGATGTGTTTTGATCTTCTGTGCGTCTGTTCCCAAAGCCCACACTCTCTGTGACAATGCATCATACTCAGATGTGTGTTTCAGAGGTATGAGTTGAGGCATGTATCTGTTGCTGGGGTGAGAGAGAGGTAAAACATAGTCCATGGACCAATTATTCAAATTTGGCCATTTCACATTTTGATCTTGAGCTTTTCATTTACCCAAAATCAGACCAGAATCAATTCAATTGGTTAGAATAGTAATTTTAAAATAACTTTTCAAACATGGCAACAAAAAGACAAATTTTGGGCAATATAATCTGGTGGACATTGAATAATTTCAAATCAGAAGTCCATGTTCTCTTAAGAAAAAGATTAATTTATGAAATCCATCTACAACCTAGCTCTGAAAGCAAGAAATAAAACATTCAATTATTATTCACAATCCAAGAGAATAGAAATTCCACCATTGCTGTAATTACCCTCTTGGGTAAAATATGCTTCCCACAGGATAGCAGTACTTTGTTATATAACACACGAGACACGACCGAGAAAGAACTAGACAAAGATGCACATGAGAGATATTGGAGAGCAGGTTTGAGACGATCCAGCCTTAGCAAGAAACTAGCACCCCGCCCTGGTTCAGCAAAACAGATTTGAGTCAAAGAGAGGGAGCTCCCCTCAGTTCTTCAAAGCTAGCCGCCTACCTGGGTTGTAGCTCGGGCACCTCCCTTTGGAAGTGATGAGGTATCAAGTCATCCAGGCAGAATAGGCAGCCACCAGCCTCCCTCAAGGTCAGGGGTCACCAGTCACAACAAGGCTGCATAACCAGCTCACAATAAGCAGGCACAGTGCCAACACTCCCCTTAGATGGCCAGAGGGGACACTGTAGGGCTTCTATTCCACAGCTGCCCTAGTCCTCTCATAGGACCAGTCAGTTGCACTTCCATTAAGAATCAATCTTCACTGCACACTGTGAAGCATAGAGGAACAATTACAACCCATTTTACAAATGGAGAGGTTGGGCCATAGGAAAAAGACAAACTTAGATGAGGAAAAAGATGCTCTCCAGTTTTTAAAAATCATGATTGTATTGTTGGTTTTTTTGGTTCTGATTACATAAGCAATGCATAGACCTCGTGGACATTTTTTCACAATAGGGATAAACTAAAAGTAGGAAATTTAAATCAGCCTATCTTCAAATATAAGAGAAACTTCTTAATTGATGACCACCAGACTAGCCAAATTGATCTCTGATGTTCACTGTTGTCTTTGTGAAACACACTAACTGATGCCCACAGCATGCTGACTCGCAGGTCTACCAAGCCACTCTCTGGAAGGGCTACAAATATTTGCCCCAGTTTAGTAAAGTGGAGCTTACCAAGAATCAGCTCTTTGCACAAACCTTTTCTTTCCAATTGCACTTGCTTTTGTGTAAATCAACAGGATGTTACATAAACTGATGAAATATAAGTATGAAAACAAAAAACTGTTTGTGCAAATTATGCTTAGTGCTTTGAAAGACTAAATGCAAACAAGTGGCAAAAAACTGTCAAACTAGCTATGAGTAGCTATAAAAGACTGGGGGGAAGTGGAAAACTCTAGAGAATTATCCAGTCAAGCTGCTTCACAAGTATTTTTAGGTTCTAGCACTATTGCTAAACACACACACAAGCCTAACAACCTAGAAATCTTATACGGCACGCTATGTATGTGATTTTTAAAAATAATAATAAAAACAAAACAAAAAACCCTCTGAACTCTAATCAGAAGATCCATACCCAAAACAAAGACCACAGCCCCTCCTCAAAATTGAGAAATGGACATTCATCTTAAGTTAAAAATTACAAGCTTATATATGAGTGTGTCATTGTATGCCCAAATCACCTTTTCAGTTTAACCCATCAGCTCTCAGGGGCCAGGATTCAGACCAATAAGTCAAACTTCTAACCCGTATTTCTCAAAATGTAATCCACAGACCACTGATATCCAGACCATTTTGGGTATTTTCTTTAAGCACAGATTTCAGTCACACCCTGTACTTCCTAAATCATATTATCTGAGAGGCATCTGCATTTTAATATGTTCCATAGGAGATTCTGATGCATGTTAGAAGCTCTGTGCCAGGAATCAGGGACAAAGACCAAGGACATACATATTTTTTATTGTATCACATGTGCTATGGTGGAGAACAGTGGTCTAGGAGAATGATTCCGGGTTTACTATCAAGAAACAGTTGTTGGCCAGGCACGGTGGCTCATACCTGTGATCCCAGCACTTTGGGAGGCCAAGGCAGGCAGATCACGAGGTCAGGAGTTGGAGACCAGCCTGGCCAACATGGCAAAACCCCTTCTCTACTAAAACTATAAAAATTAGCTGGGTGTGGTGGCAGGTGTCTGTAATTCCAGCTACTGAGAAGGCTGAGGCAGGAGAATCGCTTGAACCCAGGAGGTGGAGGGTGCAGGGAGCTGAGATCACACCACTGCATTCCAGCCTGGGCGACAAAAGAGAAACTCCGTCTCAAAAAAAAAAAAAAAAAAAAGAGAAAAAGAAAAAGAAAGAAAAGAAACAGTTGCTGACAAAAGTGCACCCAGTGAGGAAGTTCTGGAGAGGTTCAAGCAGAGGCTGAATGATTGTCAGCCAGGATTGCTAGAGAGGGTTCCAGAATGTGGTGGGAAGTTGAATTTTTTGTGATTCATACTTAAGCTGGAGGCTTTTTTTTTTTTTTCATTAAAACCACTAGTTTATAGTTGAGAATCCAACTTTTTTAGGCCAATTATTTTCTTAGCTTTCTTTTTCTTTTTCTTTCTTTCTTTTTTTAGAAGTGGAGTCTCACTCTGTTGCCCAGGCTAGAGTGCAGCAGCCCCATCATAACTCATTGCAACCTGGGATTCCTGGGCTCAAGTGATCCTCCTACCTCAGCCTCTTGAGTTGCTGGGACTGCGGGCATGCATCATCACCCCTGACTAAATTTTTTTTTTTTTTTTTTTTTTTTTTTTTTTTTTTTAGTGACAAGGTCTCCCTATGTAGCCCAGGCTGGTCTCAAACTCCTGGCCTTCAGCAATCCTCCCAGCTCAGCCTCCCAAAGTGCTGGGGTAACAGGCATGAGCCACTATGCTGGGCCTGGTTTTTTTTTAGCTTTCTTAGATTCTTTTCAGAGTTCCAAAAAATTACTTAAGGAGGTTAATGAGCAGGTTATTAAGTTTTATAGACAAATTACAGCCAAATAGTAATCTAAAAGGTCAATCTGACCATCTTTCCACACACTTTCTCTTCTCATAGTTGCTGAACCAGGCGGCAGAGTGGAAGCTTCAGGCGAAAGTGCTGAAGGAGCAGGAGACAGTCCTACAGGCTCAGGTGAGGCCAAGGGGATGAGGCATGGGGGCGCTGTCCTCACGGTCCCCAGATAAAAAGGCTGGGGCCAAAGGTGGGCAGCAGAGGTCCTCCTATGTGGCAGGGGATGGGGGGATGGGAGTTGGAAATGAAGAATAACTTCACATTTATTCGTATTTTTAAGTAAAAATAAAAGCACAATATTATATCTATGAAAAAGAAATGTTCTGCACCAGCAACATCCAGTCAAAGGTTTGTTGACAGACAATGGATGACAGTACAATGGTCAACAGTGTCAGCCAGTGTCCAGGTTCCCATCTAGCGCTTCTTATTTCTGCTGTGTTTTCCCTCTCATTGCCCTGTTAAGGTAAGAAGAAAATGTAAACTACTTAGATGCACCATCTATGACTGGCGATTCTTAAAATGTCCTCATGTTTTGATATTATTTATCATAAAAAGAAAATGAGGCCCAGGCGCGGTGGCTTGTGTGTAATCCCAGCACTTTGGGAGGCCCAGGTGGGCAGATCACCTGAGGTCAGGAGTTCAAGACCAGCCTGGCCAACATGGTGAAACCCTGTCTCTATTAAAAAGATACAAACCTTAGTCGGGTGTGGTAGCATGTGCCTGTAATCCCAGCTACCCAGTAGGCTGAGGCAGGAGTATCACTGGAACTCAGGAGCCACAGGCTGTAGTGAGCCGAGATCACACCACTGCACTCCAGCCTGGGTGACAGAGCAAGACTCCATCTCAATTAAAAAAAAAAAAAAAGAAAAGAAATGAGAAAAATAGTCACCACTCAAGTTTCTGTGCCATCAGAGGTTGGCCTTGTCAGTGGTGAATGGATAGAAGTGGCAGGCAAGTCAGGAACCATTTTGAGTTGGCTGCGTGGCAACTTTTATGTGCTTCTGTTAGACTCTGGGGGGTCCTATTTCAGATTCTAAAAAGAAAGGGGGACCATTGTGGACATTTATGCCCCAGGTGACTCTGGAAGAAAGCCAGACCTACCCATCTTCCCCCTACCTTGGGGCTCTGCCCATCCTAAATAATGGTCCCTGTGGGTTCCAGGAGTACCGTCCTGCCACGGGCCACAGAAGGACTTCCGCTGCCCTGGGAAACACCCAAGTGTTAAAGGAACTGTGAGGTCACAGGGAGAAATTCACTGAAGTCAAGGAAATCAGAAGCCTTCCAAGCTGGGCATCACTAATTTAAGATTTGTAAATGTTTATGTGCTGACAGCTGAGTACTTGTTCATTGTAAACACACACACACACACACACACACACACACACAAATTGTGTTTATTGTAAAAGAAAAAAGCAAATAAGAAATTTAAAATCACAGATTATACCACTACATAGACAAAATACAGGGAACATTTTCATATCTGGCCTTCTTAAAGCATATATCTGCAATGTGTTTATAGCAAAGCAATACTAAATTATTTTCTCCAGTATGAACTATTCTCTGATAATAAAGAAGAATTGTTTTAATACACTAGGTGCATAGAGGTTAGAACCATAATGTGTCTGAATCAAAGGGCCCGGAGTTACAAACTCAAGATCATCCTTAAGGCAGTCACAGAACTCATCGCATCATGGTGTAGGGTGGGTGGCTGACTGCTGGCTGTCTAGCAGAAGGAAAGGGGGTGTGACCTCAAGGAATCAAGCCAAGGCCTCTAATTCTATCTGTGCCTCATTCACCACACAGAGCCTTGAGGGGAACAATAAATAATACTTGAAGCTGTGCACTGTTCACATCATTTGCTACATGCAATCTCTACTCCTCCATGCAAAATGAAGACAATCAACTTGAGCAGAGTAGATTATATTGTTAAACTGCGGGCGACAGAGTGATTCACTCAGCTGGCATCAGAATCAAGGCCTTTAATGACCTGTACAATACAAATACAAAGGTTTTGATCTAATTTCCCACCTATACCCCCTCAAACTTAAAAAACCATCAACCAGGGGTTCTAGATTTGCTGTTGTTCCTCATTCATCCCCGAGTCCAGGCACCAGGTCCGAGTGCTAGCTCTTTGAGAAGCTGTGTGACCCTGTGCAACTCACCTAAACCTCTAAGGAACTGAATTTCCTTGTCTGCAAAATGAAAGTGCTATAATGAATCAATGACCCCAGTCTGGGGTCCTGCAACCCCTGAGAGGCCTATGACTTTTCAGCGTTTCTCGAACATCAGCACATAAGGTAGCAGCTCCTATCTAAAATGTAGTTGTTTCTGATATTACTTCACCTCTTGCTCAGCAACTGTGGATGGAAATTATGCCTATGTTTAAGTTTTTAAAAGGCAAATCAGTTAATGCATATATAATATATGTAGTTGGTTTTCAAGTCATGCATGCAAAGCATTTTGCTCAGTGTCTGGCCCAAAATAAGCATAATTAATTCAACCAATATTTACTGAGCATCTACTAAGTGCTAGGCATGGTTCTAGGTTTGGCGATATAATCATCAATAAGAGAGAGAAAAATCTCTGCTTGACTATTAATTAGTGTATGAACTAGTAGTATTATTTCATAGGTAAGGATTCGTATAAGGAAATATGAGACAACAGGAGACTTTTTTTTGAGATGGAGTCTCTCTCTGTGGCCCAGGCTGGAGTGCAGTGTCGGCTCACTGCAAGCTCCGCCTGCTGGGTTCACGCCATTCTCCTACCTCAGCCTCCTGAGTAGCTGGGACTACAGGTGCCTGCCTCCACGTCCTGCTAATTTTTTGTGTTTTTAGTAGAGACAGGGTTTCACCGTGTTAGCCAGGATGATCTTGATCTCCTGACCTCGTGATCCACCCGCCTTGGCCTCCCAAAGTGCTGGGATTACAGGACCTCGTGAGCCACCGCGCCCGGCCCAACAGGAGTCTTAAGTTGCAAAAAAGTTGAAGAAACACTGGAAAAGATGATCTCAAGATGCTATTCTGCTGTAGTTCATGACCATAGAGAACTTCCAGAGCTGAAGAAGTGTGGCCCTAAGCTAAGTTGACTCCGCCTTCTTCTCCATTGCCCGCAGTGTTCCACAGTGCAGGCAGGCAGCCTCACTAATTGCAAGAACCCTCCTTTGTCTTTCCTTTTTGTCTCCAAGTTACCTTTGAAATTCCAGTAATTACTTAAGCCTCAAGAAGAAAATAGAGGTCCTGAATCCCTACATGTAATCATGTTTAAACAAGCTCCTCATTAAAAAGTATCAACATTATATTTTTAAAACTTTTAAACTTTGAAAACAAACTCTATCACAGATTCTTCTGCGTAACACTCCAACACTTCCTTTGGTTTTACGCTGTCTTTAAAGGGGTGGGAGTAGCAGGAGGCCAAGGCGAAGGCCCCATTTCTAAGGTCTGGGCAAGAGAATTATCAAGGACAGATTGTGTTATTTTCCTAGAGAAGTCACTTTTCAGTCACAAGACATCTGCTGGCCAATTGAGGGCAGGCTTCTCACTTAGGGAAGCGATGTCTGGCTTTCAATTATACAAGCCAAGGCAACAGAATAAATGTCAGAGACGATCAATGGGATACAATTGTCACTACAAATAGACTGTTCATTGGATCAATAAGGATGAAGACAGTAGCAGATGTGGGAAGTCAGCAATTCTGACGTGGACACAAAATACTACCCAAGGGGAAAGATCAGTGGGTAAATTGTTAAAAGCATGTAATCAGAGTCTTTAAAGTCTGAAATCCTCCCCATACCTCTACAGGGTGAGAGGAGAGCACTGCTGCACCTGTTCTTGTCATGGGACTTACTCCCAAACCAAATCTCACAGGTTCACCAAGATGATTCCTGGACACAGCTGTTTCCCATACTCTATGAATGTCTGTAATTAAAATTTAGTGCCCAGTAAAAAGACTGTGTTTGTCAGTTCGCCCATTTAAAAGTGAAATATTGAGGCAATTTTTGTTGTTGTTCTAATCATAGAAGAGTTTGTTTCTATTTGTGCCTCTGGCAGGAGAAATCTGTGCATGACCTCTGGATGTCCTTCCCTGGCTCTCTGAAATACCAAAGTGATACTGGGAACATGACACATGAAACCAAACATGCATCATGTCAGCACGATAGTGAGAGGGAAGACGCTCCCAAACAAATATCCATTTAGTAAACAAGAAGTACAAATGTTTAGTAAGTAGGAGAGTGTTAGAGTTATCTGAGAAATCCATAGTTTTTGCCACCAGACAGAGAGGTCAAATAGGAAGAAAAGCAAAATATTAGACTGGTCACTGGAAGGAAGAAATGGGGAATTGTTGTTTAATGTGTATAAAGTTTCCATTTTGCAAGATGTTAAAGGTTCTGGAGATTGGTTACACCATGTTGGAAACATACTTAGCAATTCTGAACTATACACTTAAAAATGGTTAGGATGGTAACTTTTGTGTTATGTGTATTTTACTACAATTAATTTACTTAATAGAAAGAAAACAAAAACTAAAACCATAAGTAGAAAAAGCACAGAAGAGCTGGTGATGAATCAAGACACTACTTCTCAGAACTCTGGGTGTGTCTGTCTTCTCCATGCTAATGAGCCAGCAACAAGAAAACATAAGAAACGGAAACAAAATCTGCCCAATTAATACACCACGAAGAACATTCTGCCTTTTTCTTTTATAAAGCCTTCACTTTGAGACACGATGGAAAAATTTAACAGGTACACATGGAAAAGTAAGACACGAGGACAGCCTTACCCAGTCAAGTGAAGACAATCGAACCTGAGAGTTTTTAATGTCTGTTAGCTCATGTTGAGGCTTAAGTCCTGGGAGTGGTGGTTCTTGCTGATTTCAACAAGGCTGCATCTGTGAGATGGACCAGACATGTGCTCACTCCTGCCCCGTCTGTCTGCAGCCTGTAACTACAGGGCTGCAAGAGGGATCGGGAGGATCAGCTCAGGAGACCACAGTGTCTGCCGTCTACGTAATTCTGCTAGAGTTACTGATAAGTTGGAAAAAGAATGGGGAGAAATTAAGGAAAAAAGTTAACAAAAGAGGCCGGACTGAGAATACAAATGAAAAGATGTTGTGACAGAAGGTGACCAGGATCTGCTGGGGGTAGTTGTTCCCACCCTAGGCCAATGGATGATGTGCAGGGTAGGTAGCCAGTCCCCAAGAGCTAACCCTAGGGCACAGTGTCTCCGACTGAGAGGTTTGACCCATATGTGGTCCCTGAAATTAATTCTGGCCCACAGTGGATTCCAGCCAGTATTTTGAAAAAAAAAAAAAAAAAAAAAATGAAAACACAATTGAACAGAATATGTCATAGTGCATTGCACATGATTGGCTGGGTACAGTGGCTCATACCTGTAATCCAAACACTTTGGGAAGTTGAGGCAGGAGGATTGCTTGAGGCCAGGAGTTTGAGACCAGCCTAGGTTTAAAAAAAAAAAAAAAAAAAAAGCCAGGCATGGTGGCTTGTGCCTGTAGTTGTAGCTACTCTGGAGGCTGATGCAGGAGGGTCCCTTAAGCCCAGGAGGTTGAGGCTGCAGTGAGCTAGGATCACACAATTGCACTCCAGCCTGGGTGACAGAATCAGACTGTCTCTTAAAAGAAAGAAAGAAAGAAAAAGCCGCAGTAAATATTGTCTTATGCACCATGCATGTGTGTGTGTGAGAGAGAGAGAGTCTGTGTGTGTAAAACCCTAGAGCCCCTTCTTGGCCATGGATTCCTTGATGCCCCTTTACTCTGTCTTCTTTAATCTGTGTGTCGAGGAATCATGAGAAACAAATTTTGGTTCTGTCACATACTCACAGTACTAATGAGAGATTTCAAAATGATGATCAGCTGTCATTTGGCTTTTCTTTGGATAATCTATATTCTACAGAAATAATTTATGTTATCATTGTTGTCTACGACAGTAAAATCTCTGCTACTCCAAATTATTGGGGAAAACCCATTCTAGATAAGCAATTTTCTGGGCTCGAGGGATTGTTTGACTCATACATACTGCCTCTCACACACACCTCCCAAGACTGGAAACTCTCCAATCTGCCAGCTTTCATTCAGGCTGCTTTCTGTGCTTTAAAAAAGACACTCACACTGATAACACTGGTCGATGCCTTCCTTCCAGCTGATAACCCAGCCTTCCTGGTCTGTCCAGTGCAGCCAGGGCCCTTGTTTGTTGATGGATGCTGCAAGTCTGCTTCTTCATACAAAAAAATGTGTTGTATGAAAATGTTATACCCATTTGAGGACTTGGGACTATTCTGGACACTCAAGAGTACCAAAAATTCATTTGAAAATTGAGTCTTGACCAATCTGAATCATCCATACTAAATCCTCTCTCATTCAAAACATGCTACCCTAATATTATTTTCAAAGGCAAGATTTTATTATTTTATCACTGTCATTAACGATCAAGTATTTACACACTTTGCTTCCCTGTGTTGCCCCATTTCCACCTTGAATGCAAGCACTAGAATTAAGGACTTGGCAATACAAATGCTCCTCGCCATGTCTCTATGGCGAGCCACACACTTGGCAAATGCTAACCCATACAATGCTTCTCTGCAAATTAGAAAAAGGCATCTATTTTTCAAGACTCATCACTTCCATCTGTGGAAAACTGATACAATACACTGATTTTGATAAAAAGGGACATTTAACTGCTATTGGCTGGAATGCCATATTCAGAAACATACAAAACTCTGATGTCTGAAACAGAAATGGCAACTGCCTAGAGTGGTATACAACCTGCATCATGGTAATGGCCCTTGTCCGTGTCCAGCCCACATTTCCTTTATCACATCTTTTCATTTGTCTAATTTTTCCCTTCCTTCAAGACCAAGTTCCAGGTTCACCTTCTCCATAAACATGTGACTCACATGGTCACCTGCCATGTTCACCTTCTTCGATCACCCACTGTCCTTAACTGACTTGACTTTGCAGCCATTGTCCCATAGTCAAGTTGTCTTTGAGATGGGCTTCCCATTAGAAGTGCAGGTCCCTCATGCAGATGCACGTGTTAAATACTTTTGTACATACAGTCCACGCACATAGTACTCAACATATGTTAATAAAAGTTTTAATACAATGATATCATATTTTCTTTTTTCATTTTTCTTTTTTTTTTTTTTTTTCTTTTTTGAGATGGAGTTTCGCTCTTGTTGCCCAGGCTGGAGTGCAATGGCACGATCTCAGCTCACTGCAACCTCCACCTCCCAGGTTCAAGTGATTCTCCTGCCTCAACATCCCAAGTAGCTGGGATTACAGGTGCCCACCACCACGCCTGGCTAATTTTTGTATTTTTAGTAGAGATGGGGTTTCACCGTGTTGGCCAGACTGGTCTCAAACTCTTGACCTCAGGTGATCCATCTGCCTTGGCCTCCCAAAGTGTTGGCATCACAGGCGTGAGCCACCGCGCCTGGGCTATGTTTTCATTTTTATTTTAAAGAAGCATTTCAATCATGCTCACTGACCTAGGTTAATCTTGTAAATAAAATAACTAAACATATTACTAATCCTATATTGAGAATTCCTTTAAATAATGAACAATGACCTGTTGTTTTCTTCTGGAAGTATTCTGAAAGATCCACTCTTTCCTCTATTGACAGCTCACTCTCTACTCAGGAAGGTTTGAAGAATTCCAGAGCACGCTAACAAAAAGCAATGAGGTGTTTGCCACTTTCAAACAGGAAATGGACAAAGTGAGTATTGCTTATCACCAACAAAATATTGACATTTTCTATTTTGACAGGCAAATTTCCTTTGGTTTCCTTTTTCTCTCACTAGGATATTTTGGTGCATTTCACAAAGTAATGAAATGTTTATAAGTAGGAATGAGGTTTGGGTTTATTTTTTAATTGGTAAGTATCTAGTGTATTAATCTTAGCAGGAGTACAAAAATTCTAGGTTACATTTTCACTCTGAGAAAGAATAGTTCTTTTTCTAACCCATGGATAACTAAAGAAAAAAAAACAAAAAACAAAAAACAGAGCTAGCAATTTAACATTTTGTTGTATATACTAAAGTCAAAATATAACCTTCTAAGAATTAAGGGAAAAAAAACATTTGGCCAGGCGCAGTGGCTCATTCCTGTAATTCCAGCACTTTGGGACGCCAAGGCGGGTGGATCACAAGGTCAGGAGTTTGAGACCAGCCTGGTCAAGATGGTGAACCCCATCTCTACTAAAAACACAAAAATTAGCCGGGCATGGTGGCACATGCCTGTAGTCCCAGCTACTCAGGAGGGTGAGGCAGGAGAATCGCTTGAACCCAGGAGGCGGAGGTTGCAGTGAGCGAGATCGTGCCACTGCACTCCAGCCTAGGAAACAGAGCAAGACTCTGTCTCAAAACAAAACAAAACAAAAACCTTTATACAAATACACAAAAGAATGTTAGAATAGGAAATGCCATCTTACAAGAACCTTCTTAGAAGAAAACTTAACTTATATAATATGATATAACTGATAGAGCCTTGAATGAGAAGATGAAAGCCTGAATTCAATTCTCCAGTGGTGTTGGACAATTCACTTAACTTCCTGAATCTAATTTTTTTTTTTTTTTTTTGAGATGGAATTTTGCTTTTGTTGCCCAGGCTAGAGTGCAAAGGCACGATCTCGGCTCACTGCAACCTCTGCCTCCCGGGTTCAAGCGATTCTCCTGCCTCAGCCTCCCAAGTAGCTGGGATTACAAGCATGCACCACCATGTCTGGTTAATTTTATATTTTTAGTAAAGACGGGGTTTCACCATGTTGGTCAGGTTGGTCTCGAACACTTCACCTCATGTGATCCACCCACCGTGGCCTCTCAAAGTGCTGAGATTACAGGCATGAGCCACCACTCCTGGCCTCTAATTTTTTTTTTTTTAAATCTATGCAGATACTACTTTCCCCTGTCTAACTCACAAGATTGTGAACTTAAATTAATGTATTTTGGAAGGGATTTAAACTTTTTACAATTATTTTTCAAATATAAGGTGCCAGTATTATTATTTAATGTAATGTTTAAAGCTTGTTCAGTGTCTTCCCAATACAAAATCAGCATCAGAACTGTGTTTCTGAACAGGGATTGGCATTAATGGTTTTGAAGTGTAGAAAACATCCTCTTAAAATATATTTTTAAAATACTATGATATATTTTACAATTCAATGAGCAACCTGAAGAAGATTGACACTTGTTAAATGTTACAGTTCTCCCATTGCAGAATAGAACTATCTATTTTCTTAAATTTTTTTTTTAATTCTAGCATTTTAAGACTGGTATAAATTAGAACAGGAAAAGATGTTTTTACTTCAAAATTGTGTACTTTTAAGAGTGGAATAAATATTAAATCAGGAGTTCTTAATCTGGGGTTAGTAGTTGACCTGAGAACTCCCTAGAAATTAGCAAAAAAAGATGCACATATGCACATTTTTGTGAAGTGTGGTCCCACAGCTTTCACCACGTTCTTAAAAAGATCAATGACCTTAAAGTTTACAAATAACTGGCTGGGCGCAGTGGCTCACGCCTGCAATCCCGGCATTTTGGGAGGCCAAGGCTGGTGGATCACTTGAGGTCAGGAGTTCGAGACTGCCTGGCCAACATGGTGAAACCCTGTTTCTACTGAAAATACAAAAAATTAGCCAGGTGTGGTGGCAGGCGCCTGTAATCCCAGCTACTCAGGAGGCGGAGGCAGGAGAATCACTTGAACTTGGGAGGCCGAGTTTGCAGTGAGCCAAGATCGCGCCACTGCACTCCAGCCTGGCGACAGAGTGAAAAACAAACAACAACAAAACAAAACAAAAAAACAAGAAAACAACAAAAAAAGAAGTTTACAAACTACTAAATTAAAATATGATCAAAATTAAAAACCTAGCTTCTCTACAGAGCCAGGGGCTGACAGTCTTGGGCCCAGCCTCTGGCCTCCATGGGTACCTAGCCTCAGGCAGCTTGGCACCATGCCACGAGTGCCCAGCTGTGTTTCATCCAGGAAAGCTGCACCTGAATACATGCCTTGTTCTCCACTTCATCCAAGCAAAGAAGAGATCCTACAAACAAGAACGTAAGTAGCCTCAGGTTCAAAAAAGACAGGCTGCATTGTATTCACTTCTCACTTCCTCGCACCCAGCCCAGGGCCTGGTGACCACCAGACATTCCATATGCTTCATTAAATGAAATAAAAAATGGCAGCCCCACTCTTCTGTTAACTCACCTAAATTTTTTTTTTTTTTTAATTTATTCTCTACCTCTCTGAACTTTGGTTTCCACATTTATAAAATCGGGGCTGAAAATAGAACCTTCCTTGTGGGACTGTTTCAAGGATTTTTGTGAACTCTACCTCACTCTATAAATGTAAAGACCCAGAAAATACAGAGGCTGCTTTTGTGCAGCTACTTCTCAGATGTGCCCAGATATTATCAACATTTTAATGGCTAAAAAGGCCATGCCAGCTTTCCCACTGTGATAGTCTTCTGTTCAATACCGTAAACATCCTAAATTACAGGCTTGTTCATGGGACTCCATAAAGATATTCTTCTTTTAAATGAAAGAAAAAGCAGTGACAAAACCATGTGCCCCTAAGTCATTTCCCATTTCCTGAATTGGCTCAGGTGCAAATAAGTTTGTTCACCACTGCCCTAGCTGGCTCAGAAATAAATCATGGCTCTGCTGCAATCTTCATTCTTGACATTGAACATTTGTTTGCTTCAGCAGCTGGTAACAAAAGGACTTCTCCTGGTCTCATATATGGAGCTAATAGCTTCCTTGATATATTAACTCTTCAAGATTAACACTCACACACTCTAATTTCTGTAGACAACTAAGAAAATGAAGAAGCTGGAAAAGGACACAGCCACATGGAAAGCCCGATTTGAGAATTGTAACAAAGCTCTGTTGGACATGATTGAAGAGGTGAGGAAGTTTCTCCCTTAGCTTTAATCCCATCTGTCTAGTCAATATATTCATACTTATTATACAATTATAACCTGATAATAGTACAAATGGTTATGTTTGAAAAGGAGCTGAATTTTCAGTGGAGGGATGTGACATTTTAAATTGTAATAAATATAAAAAGAGCAAAGTTCATTTAGAATCAGGTCCAGACTCATAAAGAGCTTTGTGACCCTAAGTCACATCCTTACCTGTTGATTCAATAGCTGTACCCAGGGCAGCTGTCCCCTTTGAGGGCTGTGAATTCCTTAAAGGCAGGATGAGTGTCTTACTTTACTTTGAATTTTCCCAGTGTCTGACACATAACAAGTGCTGAATAAATTAATCAGTTGATTTGAATATACTGCAAGAAGACACCAGCCCAAGCGTCCAGTGCATGTGCTATTTTCTAATATAAACAGATATGGAGATATCTCTTTTTAATTCCTTCAATAGAAATTTAAGTACTGATCTCATGCCAGGCTCCAAGTAGATTTTGAGAGTCCAAAGGCAGAGAGATACATGGCCCCTGACCTGAGAAGTAGGGTTTACAGGTGAAGGTCTCTCCATGTATAACAAGTGGGAAAAAAGGGTCTCAAAGGCAAAGAGTAGCTAAGAGGTGGGGTAAAGGAGTGAGATAATTAGGAACATTTTCATGCACAAATACACAGACATTTCTCAAAGAAAAAATTGAACCATTTGAGCAGCCAGCATCATGAATTAGTATGTGGTGAATTTTTATGGTTATAATTACTGTTCTAACAATTCTTCCCAAATTGTAACCAATTCCAAAGAGATATACTTATTACTCATCAACATAAATCAAATGGCTGCTGGGGTTAGCACATAGCAGTTTATTCATAGAATAGATAAGGAAGGCATTGCTGAGACCCAAGTCCCAATACATCTCATTTATCTTGCCACAAGTCTTGCTTCTACCTTCTAAGTCTCAGAAGCAGAAAATTCATCTACTCTAAGATTTGAGAGGCTATGGACCAAAGCAGAAGGAAGCCTGACTATCTTTCTTTCCCAGTGAACAGGCTATGGTGATTAAAAATCTACCAGTCTAGTACACAATGCCAAAAAAAAAGGAAGTGATGTCCATGACCAAGCATCTGTTCAGCCCCTACTCTGTGGCCAGGTCCCAGAGCCTAGTAGACAAATTCTGGGACAAATAGTTTTGCTTGTTTCCAGAGAGCATCCTGGACATTTTGCTTATCATGTCATTTCATCTGTGCGTATATGTGCGTGTGTTTTCACATCACAGAAAGCACTGAGAGCTAAAGAATATGAATGCTTCGTGATGAAAATTGGGAGGCTAGAGAACCTCTGCCGTGCTTTACAAGAAGAGAGAAATGAACTCTACAAAAAAATCAGAGACACAAAAGTATCTGAAAAGGATGACCAAAGTCAGCATACCTCTGATGAAGAGCCAGAGTCAAACGTCTCTGTGGATCAAGAGATTGACGCAGAGGAGGTTAATAGCGTCCAAACCGCTGTGAAAAATCTGGCCACAGCCTTCATGATAATTCATCATTCACAGTCAACCCCGCATCAGTCCAAAGAAACCCAACCCAAAATCAGCAGTTCTCAGGAGAGCAGTGATGCCGCTCTCAAAGAGCCAGAGCAACCCCCTCTGATCCCTTCACGGGATTCAGAGAGTCCCCTGCCTCCCCTAACTCCTCGGGCTGAAGCCGAAAGAGGCAGTGAGGCTGAACCTCCTTCCAAGGCTAGTAATTCGCCTGCCGGGTTGGAAGCACAAACCCAATGCGAGGGTCTCCCTGTTGGAGCACAGGCTGATCAGCAGTCCTGGAAGCCAGAGGCAGAAGCTTCCAGTCAGGCCCCACAGGCTCCCACCAAGGCCTCCCTACAGGAGATGGAGGCAGATGTGCCTACTCCAGCATGCACGGCTGAAGAGCACATTGCAGCCATGGTGCCTGCATGTGAGCCCAGTAGGCAGCCCCCACCAGCAGCAGCAGAGGAGCTGCCAGTAGGGGCCTCAGCTGGGCCTCAGCCGCCCAACCTGGCTGACACCAATCTGGAAGGTGTCGACTAAGCCTCGCCATGCCTTCAGAGGCTTCGTCCTGACTCCTTGCACCTTCAGCATAACAGATTGTCTTCCGAAAAAGGCATTAAGGGCTAGAGATGTCAAATGAAAGAGAAGTAGGATCAAGTCATTTTTTAATGTTATGCAGAACACATTCATTCAGGCTTTGCTATTTGTTACCAGTTTGTAACTGATTTGAAGGTTTTCTATTTAACACTGGTTGACAGTATAATTTTCCCAAAGGGCAACAAAACATCAGACAGCAAATTTATATTACTTTTCTGTTAAGATAATACTTAATTAAATTTGTTAATCACCAGTAAGATTTTATGTTTAAAGACTTCTACTGCAATATATAAATATTGAAAATGTGATGTTCTGCTTATTTGGATATATAGTTTAATAAGTTCCATAGTAATTTATGGATGTCCAGGTTGCATTTAAACTATACATATACATAATATATACATATGTATGTGCATGTATATGTACACATATATATAGATGTGTGAATATGTGTGTTTATATACATATATACAGGTATATATTTTATATATGTATATATAAATGCATTATTACACATACATTTCTTTCACCCCTTAGAGCATTTTTCTCAGTGCAGAATATTTAGATGCTAATCAAAAAATGATCTCTTACTTGCACTTGGGACTATGGTAGACTAATGTTCTATAAATCTGAAGTGAGTTTGGACCATAAGTATTTAGGCTATCATTATGTTGGGCAAAAATAAGTAACCCAATGGTAGATAAATGAATTCAACCAGTTGATCAAATGACAGAAAAGCAGTTAGATTGCAATCTGTGCAGACAGTATGGACACAAAGATGGCCACTAGGGGCCCAAAACAGAAAAGAGAAACACAAGCTCACCTCTTGGCGGCTGCTTCTCCTATACTTCTCAGTTCATTGCTTTGCTGCCCCCTCATGTGCCAGGGCGTCCCAATCCAGGCCTCCTGTAAGGAAAGGGTTGGAAGTGGGAAAGGGAGCTAGGGATTGAGGGGTGAAGGGACCTCACACTAAGAAGGGGCTGTGCTTTGATCCCCTGCCTCTTGCACTACCAGTGTCTCAAGACAGAATATTCATCTCTTGCTGTCAGACCCAGCCTATATTCTAAAAGCTGCTTCTGATCCTTCCTTCCCAATTTCTCCTTTGCAGTAGAAAATTACACCCAGCCCTCATCTCAATTAATGCTGAATAAACCTATTGTTTTTCCAAAACAGAAATCTACACTGGGTCTCAATATCAGTGATGAGGCTTACAAACCAACACGTTTTCTGCCATGAGGATTTCTCTTTAGACCAGAGGTACAAAACAAAAAACCAATGGATTTTAATCAAAATGATTTGAAATATAGGTGAGGATTCAGGAGAAGGCAAAAGCTAGAAACACTTGGGATTGTCAACATGAGTATTATATTAACATTGCTTGATAAGAACTTCTAATGATATTGACAACATAAATTACCTAGCGTAAAGGATAGCTGCAACAATGAAACAGGAAAGAAGAAAGAGAGAGAGGAAAGGGAAGGAAGAAAGGAAGGAGGGAGAAGGGAAGAAAGAAACAATGTCTAACCCAACTCTATTTTAATAGTTGAACTCAAGTAGAAAAATGGATAGAAACAAAATTCTCTAGTACTCATCCAGGAAACCATTCTTCAATGTTGCATGTGGCTGTTTGCCAAGGCACACAAAGTGCTTGTAGGCAGCAACCATATGCTACAAGAATTGTAAACTGCATACAGTTTGTTTGAAGTAGACAGTGAGGATAATAACAAAGTTGCTAGGCAGGAAAAAAAAATTAGGAAAAAAGCTTGTCGCTATTTGAGAATCTGTATATTTTTAAAGGCTTAAAATATTATAACCATAGGGTATCCAGCCAAATTCAACATTATTGCAAGTCTTTGAGATTTAAACATTCATTTGATTCAAAGCTAAATATTCACCATAATCCAGGAGGGTCTCCCTCCCCACTACAGAGGCAGAATGTCCAAGAATGGAGTAAGATTAGTCACAGTAAAGTCTCAGTCTGAATGTTTAGCAAGAGAAACAGGCAGGAGAGGAACCCAAAGGCAGTAAATCAAATATTCTAAAACCCCAAGTTCATTATTTTCATCCAAAAGACTTTCACAGAAACACATTACTCACAGCCATGTGTATCTTGGACAGAGTTTCAGATGGAATGACTTGCCTGAAATTTGTAAAGCTTAATATAGGTTTTGGGAGAATTATTTTAACATTAAAAGAATGTTTTATTATAGTCCTTTGTGTTAGAATTTAGCCTTACTAATTGTAACAATAACTCATAAAGTTCTAAATGCAGAAGGAATATCTGTTCTTTATCAAGTGTATGTAACTATTTTTTAGAAATGCCATCTACTTTCTAGAAACACTAAAGTTATTGTTTTCTAAATTAAATAACTATAATTTATATATCTATTAAAAAAGATACCTCTCTTCCCAAATTCTCTAGTAGTCATTTTATTTTTTAACTTTCACCTATTTTATTTTATTTTTATTTTTGTTACTTCTATGCTTCAACAATACCTATTGAAAATTATGGTTTTATTCTGTAGTTAATTAAGTTTTTGGTCACTAAATAGACTTACGTGTAGCCAACACTTTGAAAACATTGGGGCGTGTGTGTGTGACAGAGAGAGAGAAAGAGAGAAAGGGAGGGAGAAATAACAATGAGGCTACAGTTAAAAATCACGGAGGCCAGGTATGGTGGCTCATGTCTATAATCCCAGCACTTTGGAAACTAAGGTGGGAGGATCACTTGAGCCCAAGAGTTCAAGACCAGCCTGGGCAACATAGTAAAACCCCCATCTCTACAAAATTTTTTTTTAAAAATTAGCCAGACATAGTGGCACACGCCTGTGGTCCCAGCTACTTGGGAAGCTGAGGCAGGAAGATAGCTCGAGCCTGGAAGGTGGGGGCTGCAGTGAGCCATGGTCATGCCACCGTACTCCAGCCTGGGTGAAAGAGTGAGACCCTGTCTCAAAAAAAGAAAAAATGTCACTGAGGCCTGCAAGAGAGAAGCACTGGAAACGGAGTGCCCGGGGCTAATAAGAAAACAAAACCCAGACTCCTCTGCCTGGCTCTGCAGTGCTGGTGGACAGTTCTCACCCGGCTGATATGCTTCTCAGTACCAACCTCCCATGAGACCACGTTTCCACAGGCTTTTCTGCCGTGTGTCCTCCTGGAGGAAGGGAGGAAGCATAGAAGGTGTCTATGCCCTTTTCCTCTCTCCAGCCCTCCTGACTGCTCCAAGAATTTCATCGAACAAGACTCAGAGACTCAGCTGCTCTGCTTTTTGATTCTTCTCACTGACCTGGGAGGGGCTTCTCAAACACCACATTTCCTAGCACGCTGTGAGAAGAGGATTGTGAGCTAGGAAGGGAGAAAAGGTAAGACCAGGGAGAAAAGGTAAGACCTGCCCGTAAGGCTGATTTTGCTCCTTTTGGCCTGGTATTGACTTACACTTCTTAAATACCCTCTTTTTGGGGATTATAAAAGTAACATGTGTTCGCTGTAAAACTGATGCTGCTTTTCAGTAAGACCAACAAGAAACAGGAGAGGGAGATGGTTTCAGGACAATTTTCCCAGCCCGTTCTCCTCTAACCAGTAGTTAAATCCAGTATTTGGGAAAGTAAAATAATTTATTTATTTATTTATTTGAGACAGAGTCTCGCTCTTTAGCCCAGGCTGGAGTGCAGTGGCGCGATCTCGGCTCACTGCAAGCTCCGTCTCCCGGGTTCAGGCCATTCTCCCGCCTCAGCCTCCCGAGTAGCCGGGACTACAGGCGCCCGCCACTGCGCCCGGTTAATTTTTTGGGTTTTTACTAGAGACAGGGTTTCACCATGTTAGCCAGGATGGTCTCTATCTCCTGGCCTTGTGATCCGCCCGCCTCGGCCTCCTAAAGTGCTGGGATTACAGGCGTGAGTCACCGCGCCCGACCAAGTAAAATAATTTAAAATGTAAAGCATTTGCTAATGGAAGATGTGAAATGAAAATAAAGACTCTGGCCTCCGAAGTTCATTCTCATCATAAACTGGCGAGGAGGGTTTCACAGGCAAGTGGGGCATAAGGGTTCAATTTTCACAAGGTTTAAATAATTTCCATTTCTGTATTTTAGAACTTGAAAATTAAGGTTCTCCATGAGAGCACTCTGTTGGAACAGAAGCTTTCATGTGATGATAATGATTTTTCTCAGCCCTATTAAGTTGTATCCTCAATACTGAAGTTAAGCCTCTTTGGTGGTAGCTCTTGATAAAAGTTCTACAAATGCTAGCTTCTGTCACATGTGCATGTGAATGCAAACACACATACATATACGTAAATACAGAGGTATAAAATTTGACCTAAGTTTAATTCTGGTCCCATAGATGAGTATTTACACCAATATTTTCTTTTCTTTCTTTCTTTCTTTCTTTCTTTCTTTCTTTCTTTCTTTCTTCCTTTCTTCCTTTCTTTCCTTTCTTTCCTTTCTTTCCTTTCTTTCCTTTCTTTTTCTTCTCACTGACCTAGAGGGCCTCAAACAACCACCCCTCCACCATGCATGACTTAATATCAAACAGAAGGTAAACGACAAATATGACCAATGAATAAGACTCGCTGGTCTTACCAACAACTAACACCGTATCCTTCTTAGGGACGGGATGTAGGCGCAACATGTGTCCACAAAGAGGCAGTTTCACACAAACAAGAGATATTATCATTTAGAATGATCACCTTCCAGCCCAGCCTTCAATAAATGAAACCAGATTTGAAGCACAAGAATCATCATTTATTTATTTGACACAAGAGTCCTACCATATTCATATCGATGTATGAGTTGAAGATCCAAAGCACACAGAAGTCCATCTGGTCGAGAAATTATTCCTCCTCTGCCACTCACCTCCAGGTTGTTTTCCGTTAACGACCCACACGCTTCCATCAACCCTTCTGCGCCAAAGACTTTTGGTTAATTAATATAGGTGGTCTCAATGAGCATAAGATGATTATCCTCATCTTGGTCTGATCCACACTGTAGCCCCCAAAATGCTTGCAGTAGTGTAACAGAAATGAGTACATCACCACCCAAATAGGAAAACACTCAATGTGGCTATTTCGGTTTAATGGGTACTTATTTAAGAAATAAAAATTTAGATCCATTCAGTTCATCTTCATAACAAAACCAGCATGATACTCTGGTGGAAGAGATGGGTCCATCAGATGTTGAATTAATTCCATTACGGCTGAGAACCTCAGTAATTTAGATGCCCAATGGATATTAACTTCCTCCGTTTCCTGGAAACATGGTACGCTCATAGCAAGACTTCAGTTTAGAGGTTTGCTGTGGTACCTGGTAGATATCTAAAGCTTTCCAGCTTCAGGCGTAGGAGTCTATAGACAAACAAAAACAGTCAT